TCTCTTTCAGGTCAGCCTCATTGATTCTTCTTTCAGCTTCTTTGACGGAAAGAAGGCCCACTGCAAATCTTCTCTCTCTCTCTCAATCGCTCAAATATAACTATGTGTAGTCTATTAACAATTCTCTGTACCCATATCCTATTTTAGATACATATCACAATATCCTATAATTTAAAATTTTATAAAGGTCTGACACTTGGACATTGCACCCTTACTCGATACTTATCCCTGAGTCCATGTAACGTAGGTAACGTGTTGTAAATAGCAAAGATGACCTGCACCTCAGTATACTGTTCGCGATGCTTTAATACATTTCCTCATTTGACAGGCAATGCAAGGGAATCAAAACACCTGGATTTTTTTGGTCAGCCTTCTACAGGCTGGAAAATATCTAGGATAGGCCCAAAAAATGTCTTGAATTGTGGATTTTGTTTTTTTGTGTTTTTTTTTGTTTTTCTTGGTGTAGTAATAAATCATTTGACTTGTTTATTCCATTTTTGTTTCATGGCAACACGGGAAACGACTCCTATTTCATTTCTAACAGTATGTTACATGTAATTTTGATTGATGTATTATCTTCTGTCTATTACAAATGATTTCTTATAGTGATGTAGGTGTAGTTGGATGGTGGTAGTTGTTGGTGTTGGTTAGTGAGAGTAGGTGAGGTGGTAGTGGTGTAGTGGGTTAGGTTTAGTGTGAGTAGGTGAGGTGGTAGTGATGGTAGGTGGATGGTAAATTTAAAGCCATCCGTAAATCAAGGAGGATAGAACTACAACTTGAGTTTGGAAGAGAGAACAAAACGAAAATATAATAAAAAAGAGGATAAGAGACACTGTATGGTGTGTCAGACCATTGGTGAAGACACTGTGGGTGATCGTGGTAGAGCACTGTATGGGTGCATAAGTGGTGGCTGATGGGTCATACGTGAACTGTAATGGGGGGTTGGGGTCCCCCCCCCCAATAACGTAAGACAACTGTATGGTGGAACGTAGATACACTGTAGTGGCGGTGTCTACGTTGTAGAGGCGTTATGGTGGTCATGTTGGAACCTGTGCGTGTAGACCGATGTAGAACAGTTTATGGGTGCGGACGTGTAGAAATTTGACGTGAGGTCTTGCTGAGCTCTTGTAGAAATAACGGAATTAATGCTGGGACAAGTTTACAGAGTCTTGTCGGACCTTAAGGAACTAACCGAATTATGTCGGGACAGTTTTACAAGTCGTGACTGTAGAACTACTTTGTCGAATTCTGTGACCATAGGACTACATCAAGTTAAGATCTTGACTAAAATCGATCTCAGAAAAAAGTAGGGGGCTCAATTTTCATTAAAGGGTGCCATCAAAAGGCTGCCAATTTATCAAAAGTGTGGCCGGACCATGATGCGAGGCCGTGAGTGTCTTGGTGGCGTGCCGTTTGTGTTTGGCGTCAGTTGGCGCGCGATATGCGGTGTGCTGTCCGTCATGTCTTTTATAAGCGGCGGCTAAAGGTGAGGCAGAGGCGGAAGACAAAAAAAACTTGGCGAGAGATATTCTGAGAGAGATTTCTGAGAAGAGATATTCTGTAATACTCTGTTGTCTGAAGAGATTTTCTGAGAGGAGATATTCCTGTAACATCTGTGGGCCCAAGAAAATGGTTCTCTTCGGGTTCTGGCTTACTCTCTTTCCCGACTCAGAGAGTCAACAAGAGAGAGAATGGTGCGGTGGCACTGGAACGCTCAACCAAGCGCCGGGGTTTGCTCGTTGAACTTTCGATTGCGGTGGTGGGCAAGAATGGGCAGTGCAGTACAGATGTGGAGGGGACCTATTTGTTGATATTTGAGACTTGTGTTGGAAATCTTATTTATGTTCTAATATATAAACATTGTATATGTTTTGGGGAAATTGAACTGTAATGGTTGGTGTTGAACAACTCGGTGTATTCTTGTTACAAGTTTGGATGATATATGAATTATTTTACTCTCAATGAATGTTAAATGATTTTAAGTTTTAGGGACAAAATTCCTTAAGGGGGGACATTTTAACGATTCTGGTTTAGACCCGACCCATTTCCTTCCTTTTGGATCCGAGAACCCATGTACTTAGTTGTTGTTCATTTCATTTCCATCTTGTTAATTGCTGACTGTGGCTATTGGGAGTTTTGGTTGCATTTGAAATAGGTTGGAAAGTTAGTTTTTCTATGAGTTGTTGCCCAAATTTTTGTCTGTTCGATCAAGCGGTATTTTTTGTGGTCGAGGTGTCCTTTACAGGTCTGCAAAGCCACCATCCAGTGTCTTCACCAATGGTCTGACACGACCATACAGTGTCTCCTATCCTTTTTTATTTTTATGTATTTTCTTGTTTTGTTCCTCTCTTCAAACTCAAGTTGGTTAGTTTCTATCCTCCTTGAGTTTGCGGGGGGCTGTTAGAATTTACCATCACCTACCATCACTACCACCTCACCTACTCCACTAAACCTAACCCACTACACCACTACCACCTCACCTACTTCACTAAACCTAACCCACTACCACCATCCACTACACCTACATCTATATAAGGAATCATTTGTAATAGACAGAAGATCAATACATCAATCAATAATACATGTAACATATGTGAAATGAATGGAGTCGTTTCGATGTTGCATGAAACAAAATGAATAACAAGTCAAATGATTTATTACTACACCAAGAAAAACAAAAAAAAACAAAAAACAAATCCACAATCAAAGACATTTTTTGGGCCTAGAGTATTTTCCAGCCTTGTAGAAGGCTGCAAAAAATCCAGTTTGTTTGATCCCTTGATTGCTGTCAAATGAGGAAATGTATTAAGCTCGGTCTTCTTTGCTATTTACAACACGTTACCTACGTTACATGGACTCAGGTATAAGTATCGAGTAAGGGTGCATGTCCAAGTGTCAGACCTTTATAAATTTAAATTTTAGGATATTGTGATATGTATCTAAAATAGGATATGGGTACAGAGAATTGTTATGTACACACATATATATTACATGAGAGAGAGAGAGAAGTGCTTTTTGGCATGGGCTTCTGGTGCCAATGAAGTGAAAGAAGACAATGAGGCTGTGAAAGAGAGTTTTGTAAATTGCTTACTGTGAATTTGGTGTGCTAATGGCGTGCATTTGTAGTGAAAAAAGAGATGGGATTGGAGAGAGAGAGAAAGAGAGGTGCTTTTTCTGGTGCCAGTGAAGCGAAACCACTCCAATTATCTGATGGAACAGCCATTGGAGAAGGGTCAGTAGAAGATTACTCTCTATAGGGTTATCATTACTCTCTGACCGTAACCAAATCGTATGGATTTGAAACTGGGATTGTTTTGTTTTGGTCAAGAAGAATCTGCAACCCAGGCAGTAGTAGATTGTAAAATAATTCAAATTATTCGAATTCAACTGGTGTTCAGTTTATTAAAAATTTATTTTAAATTGACGTGTTATGTAAATATGTCAATATATTTTAAAGCTCGTTAAATTGTGACGTCAAGTTTGGATAATTTAGTACTTGGCTTTTGATTGGTTCAATTAAATCTCGTTTAGGATCGGCTAGAAACATAAGTAAGAAAAAACTGAACACAATTTGAAACTATTTAAGTTTTAAAATCAAGTTTAAACAATTTATTGCTCGTCTTATAATAAAAAGAATAATCACAGTCGGTTGGTTCTCCTTAATGAGATCCTCTACTACTTGCGACATATTGAGTAGCTCTGATGATGTGATTACCATCTTATTCATTTTGTAATTCAAATGAATTGATTAAAAGCTTCAGCTAAAGATGAGAGCATTTCATCAATTTAGTTTCACCATCAGTTTCTGCTTCCAGCATTTCCAGTTCATTAATGAAGGATATCCTATTTGTCTCATTTCAAGAGAATAAACTCATAATTTATGTTTATTAAATTAATGTTACCTCTTTTGGTCCTGATCTGAGGAGCATCATTGGGGGAGTTTTCTATGGAAAAAAGACAATACTGTATTATCGTGTAATTGGAGCCTTTCAAGATATTGTAAATTATGTAGAGATGTACTTAAAATTGAATGAAGTTTAGGAAAAATGTGGGATTTTGATCTCTTATCTATGTTAAAATGTTTCTTTTCTAGCAAATATAAGTTTCTTATTCTACAAACATTGTGAAAAGTTGAAGAATCCAAGGATCTAAATTAGGTACGAGTGTGACACAAATTTCACACCCTTATCCACCCTTATCCTTGTCATATCCGGTGGACATGGGTATTTTACGGGAATTAGAAGAATCCATGTAACATAGCACGTTAGAAATAAGAACAATTGGTTGACAGAATTTTTGAAGTGAACATAGGCAGGATTTGGAAAATACCTTTTAAGTAGCTTTTTTACTTTTTTTGAAGGAGAAAGTAGTAGTTGAAAAAGCTGATAATTTGGTAAATGCTAAAAAAAATTTTTTTTTTTTGGTTAATAGAAAAGTCTAATGTTTTTGGCTGAAATAGTATGTCATGTTTTAGAGATCAATTATGCAACTAATCTCTAAAATAGTCACTTATTTTTTTTTAAGGAAAAAATTTCTTTAATTGAGTACTGTTAAATTTGAATTATATTGTATTTCGTGCAGACAAAGCTCTACACAGAAGATTGGATCGGTTTGAAAACGTTGGATGAAGCTGGGAAGGTGAAATTCATAAACGTGTCAGGGGGTCATCTCCATATCTCTCCAAGCGACATTGAGAAATACATTGTACCGTACTTGTTGGATGAAGCTTCCATACAACTGGCGAAGATAGCTAAACCATATCACGGAGAATAGTCTTTCTTCTGCATAATCAAAATTAGTTTTGAATGCCTTCATTTCCTACATGAACTGGCAACAATTGTTTAGATTGAGAAGGCTTATTTTTTGTCACATACTGTTAATTCATTTATGTAACCATCTTTTGATGGCTTTTTTTTAATCTTTCTAAGTCTGGGACGAACATTGTATGCCATGGGTTGGTGTAACTGTTTGTGTTGTTCTTACTTAGACGTGCGAGAAAAAGAAAAAAAAAAAAAAACTCGTGTAGTTTGAGAAGATGAGCAGCTTGGATTGTGTTGGTAAGATGATAAAAATCAGTGGGGCAAGTGAGTCTGTTTGTCAAAATTTGTTAACTACAAACCGACTCAACTTGCCTCTATATATATATGTAAAAAAAATTCACTCGCGACCAACCCCTGCCTATCATCAATACCGGCAAATTGGATGAACTTTATAGTGGTTTCAAACTGGTTAGACTGGTTGGTAGGTTAACTTTGCAAGTTTTGAATATACTACCTCATGGAGCTTGACAGTATTGAGAGATAATAATATGTTTCTTTTGTTACATGATAACATTATTAGGGATTAAATGGACACAATCAGAGTAGAATATGTGCAAGGTTTATCATATTAGCATATTACTATACTACTTAACTAGATGGGTTGAGTTACATTACATTTGGTTGAGGCAAATTAAAAATTTGTAAATCACAATAAACTAACCTACTTTCATCTTATAACGCACCCAACCACACCTAACCTTTCACCTCTCTAACTCTGGGTTTCGTGTTGAGTTAGGTGAGGTGCGTTCGCGGATAAATTGCACACCCTTACATTATACCATTAATCAAATACATCCACCCTTTATTTTTATTGCATATTTTCACATTTTTTTTTTTTTGGCATATTAAATTTTAAATATCATGCATCAATTAATTTGTTGATTTTGAATGAGAATTTGCAGCAAATAATAAGTTTCATTAAAAATTGTAACATGTTCTTTCCCATTTTGTATTTTTAACATAACCCAAATCGTTCAAATCTCTTGATTGAAATTGCTAAAAAGTTCAATCAATTTGTCAATTTTGATGATGAGTGTATTGGCCGCAAATTGATACAAAAAATGAATAAATACATAAAAAAGAAAGACAGGGACATTTTCGTCATTCTGTTTCAAGATTCCCTAATTGTGTATTTATTTATTTATTCTTTCTTCCATTGCCACCGTAATTTTTTAAAAGTAGCCATGATTTATAATAAAATTTACCCAAAAAATAAAGCACACAGATCAATGGCCTGAGGGACACCAATTGTGTCTCACTGCATATAGAAACCAATCTAGGTGACCCCATAGTATAGTACCAAACACATAATGAAAAAAATGCACTCCCAATGACCTATACAAGTCTGAACAAACTAGTTTACACTATAAGTTTCACCAAGCAACAACTACTCTAAAAACTCAAGCTCTGTTTGTCACTATCTGATTTCAACCCAAGTGCTCTACTGAAAATGACTCATAAAAACTCTCAATGGAACCAATACATATCACATATGATGGCTACCTAAAAAAAGCTTCAAAAAAAATAAAAAAGAAGCTAAGCTTAATCCAGCTGATCTAATTCAACTTTCATAATTCAGCATTAAGCATAGAGTATACATATTTATCTGATAATGCTTATCAAAATTCTCTAACAACGGTTACCAAACAAAGCCAAAGCCACACCCAAAAAAAAAAAAAGAAAAAACAAAAAGGCTCCAAATATACGATTTTACAGAAGATTGTCACAATGAATATAAAAAAAAAAAAAAACCAAAAAAAAAAAAAAGGCAAAAAGCTGGTCTTTAAACCGTCACTCAACAAAACCACCTTTTATCATGTTCATGTTTTTTTTCTTATATAATCACGTTTATGATTAAACAGAAAAAAGGAAGAAAAAAATCACACAAACCTATGTGCGGCACCTAAAATCACAGAGCAAAACATATTTTTCCTGCGGTTCTTTAAGCTTCTGTCCAACCCATGGAAATCTAATCAAAGCTGAAATGCTGCTTCCGTTGACAAGTCTGGTTGAGATAGTCTTTCTAACAACCATAACTACTCTTTAGATTGAAGTTCTATCTGGTGGTGTTCTAGGTTGCGAAGTACAATTCTTGCAAAGATTTTGGCTTCAAGTGGAGCAGTTGCTGCCGCAGCTGCAGCACGCAGAACCCGTGGTGCTCCAGCATTCTGCAAAAGGCCCACGTGGTGTACTGCGTGACGGCCACCCGGGATGGTGAACTACAATGCAGTAACAAGAGGGATTTATTCAGGTACGTAAAGTCTGTCCGATTCTACCAATAGTCACTAGGAAAATAATTTTACACTCAATTTGTTTCAGTAGTGAAAACATTTTCTGATGGAAATGTGATGGTGAGTTGGTGGAGGTGCCAGTGGTGGGGTGGTGAAGGTAGTTGTGGGGTGGTGGTAACACTTAAGTCCGAAAAACATTTTCCATCTTTCAAAAGTAAAATATTTTCCACCTTTCAAAAGTAAAACATTTTCCACCCAAATGAGTTTGTTTTCCGTTGACCATAGAAAATGTTTTCCATTGACAACTGCCAGAAACTATGAAACTTGTTTTTCAGAAATGTTTTCCACCCAAACAAAAAGAGCTTTAGTCCCGACTTATTTCTAGCATTTTTATTTTTTAAATTCATCTCTACCTGGAGAAGGGCAAATGCAGCACACGCCTTGAGTATGGAAGAAGGATTTCGTAGCATAGCCACAAATCTGCCAACCTCAGCTCCACTGACAGAAATAAAAATGAGAAGAGAAATAAAGTCAGAAAATTCGAGAAGAAATTGATAGGAAGCATAAAAGCTTAAAGATAAATATGAATTTTTTAATTAAAGCAAATTGTATTATCTTCTTTCAAATGTAATTATAACATCCAGAAAAGCAGAAATTTCAATTAAATTCTACAAGCAAAACAAACTGGGCTGAAGAGAAAAATATGTAAACATGAAAAACAAATTCTCACGAGTGAATTTCATAACAAAGTACCTTCATGACCTAAATAGAACTGAAACATGCGAGAAAATAAGGTGATAGGAACTTATGAACAAATTATGATTTTTTTCAGCCTTCATAATTGGAGGAAAAAATGAAATCATTTAACAGTCTCAAGTTTTTTATGATATCGTAGCTCAACCTTATAGTTTACTAGCCTAAATCATCTTTTAAATTTTCCACTAATGACATTTTAAAATATTGAAAATATTTCAGCATGCTGCAAGCATTTGTTCACTTCCCACTAGAGTTCTAAATGCTTTTAACACTTTACCTCTCACCCTTAACCTAAACTAACATAAGATACCGTCCAACATAACAAAACTTAGGTTGTGTTTGGATCATGGATTTGAGTAGACATTTGGAAAGGTAAAGAAAAATGTCCTTTCTCTTTCCAAATACCTACCCAAACCCATAATCTGAACACAACCTTGGAGATCTTAAATTGGGATAATTTAAAATATATATACCACAATCTTTCTAGAAGAAAAATAATATATATATATATATATATTCTGATAAATTATAAACACAATGTATATATATTAGTAAGAGCACATGTTTATCAAAAAAATATATGTATATTAGTAAGAGCACATCTGTCGCTTGGGTTATAGTATTACAAGAGTGGTGATACTGAATCAACCATACATTTTTACTGAATACCAACAAGAATTCTATTAACCATACACGATATAGCCGGATTCAATGAGTCCCATCACACACACACACACACACACACATACACACACGCGCACAGAGAGAGAGAGAGAGACAGAACCTGCATCTGAGATGACCTGCCTCCTGAATACGAGCTGATTCAGTTACTTGTGCCAAAGCTGCAGGGGCTGATGATGCAGCAGCAGCAGCAAATGTATGTGGATCAGAAAATGTGAGGATAAAAGTTTCAATATGCCTCAGAGCCATCCTCCTAGCCCCATCTAAATTAACACTTTTAGATATGCTTTCCGATGAAGTTCCTACCAGTGCAAATTCATCCATTCTGCATCAAATATATGCATCAAAATGTTAGAACACATCATCCAAACGAAACCAACCAAACCAAACCTTAAGTCCCATCAAATGGGGTCGGCTGCATGAATTCTTTTTCTCCACTTGACTCTATCCAAGGCCATTTCGTTAATCAAATTAAAGAGATTCATATCTCTACTTACTACACTAGTCCACGTCAATTTAGGTCTACCCCTTCCCCTAACATTATCATCTACCGTTACTGTATCAAATCTCTTCACTAATTTCTCTGTTGGTCTCCGTTGTATATGACTAAACAATCTTAATCTATTCTCTCTTAACTTGTCTTCTATCGGTACTACTCCTACCCATTTTAGAATATACTCATTCCTAACTCTGTCTTTTTTAGTCTTGCCACACATCCACCTTAACATCCTTATCTCAGTAACACTCATCTTATCTACATATTGTTTCTTAGTTGCCCAACATTTCGTCCCATACAACATCGTTGGACTAATATCCATTCTATAGAACCTCACTTTTAGTCTAATGGGTACTCATTTATCGCACAGTACTTCAGATACACTCATCCACTTAAGCTACCCCGCATTAATTTTGTGGACCACATCAACTTCAATCTCCCCAGTCGTTGTGATAATCAATCCTAAATAACGAAAATGTTCACTCTTAGGTAGTTCTTGATTCTCAATATTCACTTTTCCTCTACTTCCATTGTGATTGTTACTAAAATAACACTTCATATATTCTGTGTTAGTTTTGCTTATCTTAAATCCTTTAGATTCAAGTGTTTTTCTCCAAATCTCCAACTTCGTATTAACTCATTCTCTAGTCTCATCAGCTAACACGATATCATCTGCAAAAAGCATACAACATGGCACATCATCCTGAATATTGCGTGTTAACTCATCCTGTTAGAACACATCATCGTGTCACAAAAATTACCATATTTTGAAATCTTACTATTTTAGTTCCCCACAGACCTTAAAAAAAATTAATTAAAAAGAACTTTCTTCCATATACACAAATGTTTTGAGAAAAAGAGTTTGCTGAGTTGTTGGAGATAGTGGTCGGCAATAGAAGGTGGTTGGATGTGGTGACCAGAAGTGGAGCTGCTGGAGTGTCACCGGAGGTCACTAGTAGTTGCAGGTGGCATAAGCTCACTGGAGGGTGGCTAGAGGTCTGAGGAGGTCATGGGTGGTCCGAAGATCACTGGAACTCATAGGAGGGTGACCAGAGGTTGGCCAACCGCGATGTGGCCGATTGTCGGACATGGTAGATGGAAGTGGTGGCCGGGGGTGGTGGGGGAAGAAGCGGGGAGTGAAATTTTGTTTTGAAAAAAAAGAAAGAGAAAAAAGTCAACCCTTTTTTTGTGTCCAAAAGTATTGAAAGTTTTGAAATTGATTTCAATTTTATGTAACGAAAACAATATATTAAGCAAGTTTTTGTTACCAATTTCCAAAACTACAAAAATCAAAAATAAAATCAAAAATAAAAACTAGGAAACATAAACATTAACATTAACAAACGATGACTAATATATTACTAACTTGAAGTTACAATCAACACTTGAGGACCAAGAGTGCATTTATTTACATTGATCACTTAAATATGCCAATTGCCAAGCTCAAATACATGTTCGATAGACTTAGCACAGACACTCCTAAGAAGGTGACTTATCTGTGTCATGTCCGTATCGGACACCGACACTCTTCAATGCATCTCCTATTTTTTAAATTTTTTTAAAGGCCTGAACACTCTTTGGACACTTGGAGGGCACACGTATCAATCGTTTAAACATACGTGTCAATCGATTAAACAAGTGTGAAACTAATTATAAGTTTGAACAAAACAACTTAAGATACAATAATAAAACAAAACCCATATAAATTTATAAGAATTAGTGTCATATTGCATTTTTTATTATCTTTGAATGATATATATATATAACATATAATAAATATATAAAATTATATATTTCATGTGTGTCCCCCATGTGTCGTATCCTGCATTTTCTAAAAATTAATGTGTCGGCGTGTCCATGTCGTGTCGTGTCATGTGTCCGTGTCCGTGTTCGTGTCCGTACTTCTTAGCTTAGGCCTCTCTAGACGTGCTTCCTTAATGCATCATCTCATAGTTTCATCAGGCCATTAAGAAAACATAAACAGTGACATAGCAACGGTGCAAAGGGTCATCCAAGTTACAATGCTTGATTTCTAATTCTATCGACTTTAGGAGCTACGCGACCATTGATAGAAGAAAAAGTTCATTTAATTTTTTTCCTTAATGTAAATGAATCATTTCCACTTCCATTCGAAATCCAAATTGAATCCATCGCACTGGCTTTAGTTTTGGAAAAGGAATTTGACTCTACAACCCATTATATCAGTTTATAATTCAGCTAGCTAATTAAAGATATTTCAAAAGGGACAAATTTCATCATAAATAAAAATCTTAAATTGTGTAAAATTGTGGAACTGAAATTGTGGGTCTCAGTATTTTTCCAACTGGAAATTGACTAAAAAGCTTGTGCCTAAGCAAAATCATAAGTGAGGTGAGGTGAGGTGAGGTGAGGTGAAGTGAAAAGGAAGCAAAGGAGAGGTTAGAAGGGGTTTTCTAGGTTTCTATCTTTTTCACTTAGTTCCTTCCCAAAACTAGGTGTAAACCCAAAAATCCCATGGAGTGTTATGCAGTTTCCATCGCCATGTTAAGATGATAAGCAGCAAAATGAAGATGCCGAGACTTCTGGCAGATCAATGCTGAAGAACTTTGGATAGCGTAGCACAGCACAGGAAAAGGGTTTCATTGTACATGGGAAGTCAAGTCTGTGTGTCATCTTCTCATACTATCTCCATTTAACAAGTAAAATTTCTTCTTCAATTGCATGAACCTGGTTTATGGCCCTAAGAAACCAGGGTTTCAACACCAGATTTTTTTATTTTTTTTTATTTTTTTTTGGGGTGGGGTGGGGGGATAAATAACCAAACTTTATGAAAAAAGCATCAAGATGGTGCAAATAATACAAAAATGAGAGCCAAAAGGCCCAACGAAACTAATCAAATCAAGTCCTTCACAAAATCTACAAAAACCAGAACATCTGGATCAACCCTACCCGTCACCCAACTATATAACACAGAAAGAAGTCACTTTCTAACCAAGAAATCGAGTGAGACACCCCCTGAAACACCCATCTGTTACGTTCCAACCAAATCAACCACAGTATACAATGGAAGGCAAGCATCCAAGCCTTCCGATGCCTCCACCCAACCCTTCCCCCCTACCCAACTCTACAAAACTGCCTGCACCAAACCCGGCTGCACCCATCCAACCCAAAGGTCATGACCACAAGCATCCAAAGCCGAGAAGAAACCGGACAATGAATATGCAAATGATCCACCGACTCTACATCCCCGCAACACATGCTGCACCAATTCATCAAAATATGACCACGGTGATTAGATTATCAATAATCAGAATTCGCCCCAAGGTTGCTGTCCAAACGAAAAACACAACCTTAGAAGGCATCCCTGATTTCAGAAATGTACTAATCATGTTTCACAATACAAGGAATTTGTGTTGCCACACTGAATGCCTCTAGAATCAAACTAGCCCCTCACTTTTCCAAACAGACTAATTATATGTCTATTTCACAAAGTTCTTCAGAAAATAGTTTCAATTTCAGCAGAAGACAGTATGAATCATGTTTTGGTGCAAGCAACGAAGCACTATGTGATTAACTAAAAGAAACCTAAATGGCTAAATCTAGATCATATGGTAGATAAGATAGAGAAAAGTCCATAACTAGAAACTTGTGTTGGTGGAGAAAGTACATTGATGAATGGTTAAAAACAGGAAATCTAGGAAAGAGTAAAAAGCGAAACAGCACAAGCATTTCACTGAACTCAGCAGATACAGAACCAAGATATGATCAAGTACCTGCCATCAAACATGTATGCCAATGCCAACGCAGCCATGAAGCGTGCCATTTTAGATGCTGATTTAAAACAAAGATGAACAAGGGCCGGAACCCCCCCTTCCTCCACTATTCGAAGAGCATTACCAGGAGTGAAAGCAAGATTCCAAAGAGCTCCAGCAGCAGTCTCATGAACATCCTGAAAGAGAATAAAAAAATATATATGAAATACTAATAAACACTCACAGCATGAAAATAACTCCCTGGTCCTTATTAGGTGACACTAGGATTGCAAATGAACCGAGCTGTTCATGAACAAGCTCGGCTTGGTTCGTTTAGTAAATGAGCCGAGCTCTTGGCTCGTTTATCTTTATTTAAATTATATAATAAATATATTATTTATATATTAAATAATATTTTTTATTTAAATAATACAAATAATATTTTTAAAAATTTATCGAGCCGAGCCGAACTTGAGTTTCATTAATGTTAAATGAGCCGAGCCGAGCCGAGCTTAAGCTCAATAAACAAGCTTGATAAGTAAACGAGCCGAGCTCGAGCTCAGCAAAGCTCGGCTCAGCTCGGCTCGGTTCGTTTTCAATCCTAGGTGACACAAACACTTATCCAGCAAAGATGCACAACACATTGAAGAGTCCGCACATAAGATTATACAAACAAAACTAAAATCTATATTCAATTTACATGGAAAAAAACAACTCTCCATCATCACACAAGCATGTAATGCGGAAAGCATGAACACATTTTGGTTATTTTTTTTAAGGATTTTGTATGCAAATCTTGAATGTATTCTAAAGAATCTGAGTATCGGTTAACAGATACAGACACATCCCTTCATAAATCACGATGGAAAAAGAAGGCAATTCTCCACCATTCTATTTTTGGAAAAGAAAAGTAAAGAGATGAAAGGGAAATGGCAGATTTTTTTCCTTCTCTAGTATGTATTTATACTTTAGTTTTTTTTGTTTTGTTTATCAGAGACCAAAGTCAGTTATCAGATCAGATTCATAAATTCTCCTTCAAAATATCAATCAAGAATCATGATGGAACAATAGAAAGGCATTCCTCCAATCTCCTCTGATTTACCTGTTTTAATTTTAGATTTTGAGGATGTCAATGAGGAAAAGAACGGGTTGCATAGAAATTGCTAGTTGTCTTCCAAAATCAGTCTCAAGCTCACACCCTTTGTTTATGATTCAGAAGGACAAAAAAACATGGGAGTGTTCAGTTTTGTTGATGTCTATGATGGACAATATCTTTGGGAGTCTCAAAATCAAGGTTTTATAAATTGGCCGCAACTGTTATGTAACAATTTCGGTGGTTACCACCACCCGTTACGCCGCTATAGCAGTATGACTAATATTCACAACTGTAGCAGCGACCACAATTACATAAACGTTGTATCGGCCATTACAACACCACCACGGACGTTACAACCGTTGCAATTTTATTTTCTGCATTTCGTATATAAGGCCACTTTTTCTTAGTTTTCTTTTTCTTTCCACTATTAAAATCACAAAAAAGAGACACAACTTATGAAAAAAAATCTTCAATCTATATGCTTTTGACTGTTCCACTTTCAAGATGGAGTTGCTATCCAGGTTAAATGAGCTTATGTTTATGAAACCATCATTTTTAATATTAAACATACTTTTTTATACAAGTGGGAAGGTTATCCTTAAATATAATTAGTAAAGTAAATAAAATTAAATGCATCCAAGAAAAAGGAAAAATCTCAGTACCGACTTAAAACTAGTGCAAAAATTAGTACATACATTGGATCATGTTTTAAACTAAATACCAGAAATATGCTAATGGTTATGAAGTATGACCTAAATGTGAGTTTGAGCAATGAACATGCAGGCATTCAGAATCTCTTTTGAGAATCTTTTGTACAATTAAAATCACACAATCTTGAAAGTGTCAAGCCAAGGCCTTATTTCCACTTTGAATTTGATGTTTCCCCTTCATCTTGTCTAACTATGCAACTCTTTCTTCTCAACATTTGGGAGCAGATCCATCTTAAAAATATCATATAACAAAAGACCATGAAATCATTCTTTAAATCAAAGTTCATGAGACATAAATCATAAGCTAAGACCATGAAGTCATTCTTTAAATCAAAGTTCATGAGACATAAATCATAAGCTACTTTATATAAGATGGACATAAAGAAAACCTAACATTAAATACTAATGTGCCAATTTAATATACAACCTATCCCCATATGAGCTATGACGGCAACTCTTGACAACCATTCAGTGTCAAATCCAAGTGCAAAATAGAATTTCTAAGCAGCCAACCATGTCAATTTGCTATTTTAATCAATCAGACAATGACACATATATGAGGAATGGTTTCAAAACTTCCATATGCTAAGTACATTGGGGCTGTTTGGTGCAGCTTTTGGAGCTGCTTATAGCTTTTTATTTTAGAAATTTGGGCCAGAGTGTTTGGTGCAGCTTCTACTTATAGTTTATGATACAAAAATAGCTTACACAAGTCGGAAAAAGCTAATTATTGGAAAGCAGGGGAAGAGGTGCTTTTAAGCTCCGCTTCTTTAATTTTTAGCTTTCAGCTTGCTAGAAGTTGCACCAAATATGCCCATTGACTTTTCATGAATACCAGAGATGAGACCAAATTACACTATAACCAAAAATGAAATTAAATGCAACAAACAAGAATACCAAGTGTGTGTAAATTTAATACTTACTTCACACTCCGAGTTTGCAAGTGCTATCAGAGGTGCAACTCCTCCTTCTCGTCCAATAGCAATGCTAATATGGAAACAACAAAAATATTAAATAATTGTGAAGACAAAACGAAAAGTAGGTATTTATCTTTACTGAATACGAATATGGTTTTTCTACACAAGATAACGTGATCAAGTATGACATGACAATAATAACCTCAAAGGGGAAGGTCAAAAGAAACTAATTAAGTAATTATTGTTTTCTTCTTCTCTTTTTAGCTTCTTATGTGTTGGGGGTTCTCAAATACAGGAATCTTTTTATTCAAGATGTGATGGATTGCTTTTAACCACACTGAAGTTAAAAAGTTTGAATTGTTTGACCTTTTGGAAACCAGACCACTCATCTCTATGTATTACACAGATATCACTACTTTGCATTGACAATCTCACTCTAGCGATTGGTAAACCATGAAACATCAGCCCCCTACAAAAAATAGCCGTCAATAAACACCCATAATGTGAGTTTATGTTTTAGAACTGTTTACATCCATGTTACCAATTTCTGTTTGGCAATTGCAAATCCTGCTATTTATTTTCTTTCTACTGTGTTCATTTTTGTCCTACCCTTATCATCTTCTAGTCTATTTTCATTTCAATGGTTAAGACTTGGCCTAATAACCTTTAAGGTTATGGGTTCAAGTCTTGGGACCATTACTTTGTGCATTGTGCCAAAGGTTAGGTGTGTACTCAATCTTTCCCCTCCCAAACACACATTAATGTGTACTAAATTGGTTGTTGTTTTTTTTATTTATCAGAATTCAGCTCCTTACAACTAAGTATAGTTTCTCCAACTGTCCAGCAACTTTAATGTGTTTGTGGCAAACAGGCACCGATGGTGGCTTACTTCATTATTTAAAAGGTACAACAATAGTTGATGTGTTGGTGTATGGCCACTGAAGTTCTAACAGTGCTCCTGCAATAAAGAACTCAGATTGTCAACCAAGACCACTGATGCAAGCAGACAGCTATTTTATTCAAAGCCAAGCCATGTAGCTGAAACAAAGCCTTAATTCTGTTTAAAAAACGGAATGGTGTAAGATATTACTGAGATCAACATCAGCACTCTAATGAGGCCACATGGGCTATTTCAGGTACCAACAATATGGTAAGTTAAGGTTACCTTAAGCTACCTTTTTATCTTCCAAATCTTCCACAATATGATGCATGTGAATGAGTGCTTATAGGATATAGCAAATATTCTAAAAATAAGAGAGGCCGGACACGAGCTGGCTTTAGTCTTGGCACCAGTGACTACTTGGGCTGCTGCAACCAACTAAACAAAAGATGGTACGATTTATTGGAGCAAGCCTAAATATTGACCTGCAATGATATTGGTCTTAGGGTCTTTCTAGTAAGTAGACCAAAAAGGTTGAGGAAGGAAAAAGAAGAGATGGAAAGAGTTTCTCTCATTGTTAGGAAATTAAGGGGAAGGGAAGCAAAGGAAAGAAGGGACATCTTGATCAAAGCCCATTATTTCTCTTTGTTAGAGACTCATCCCACATCGCCTCTCCAAGTCACCCAAGCTTGTCCATATAGTCTAGACGCCTTTCCGTTCCACCTGATGCCAAATGGTTTTGGGTAAGACATCTCCACAATTCCAAAATGAAAGCTAGGTCCTGCATGGTCTCGAGGGACAAGTCTCCGCCCCAGGTTTATTTCTCGCGTCTCATTCATCTCTCTACCTCCACATGTGAATTGCACATACAGATGAGTGTTACAGATTTGTCCCACATTGCTTTTCTAAACCCATTGCTTTGAAAAATGTTCCTAAGCAAAGGCTTCGGTGAGAACCGAGGCAAGAAGTGATCAAGCCTCAACGTCTCCAGAAGCCTGAAGTGAGGCAAGGCCAAGGCTGCTAGCCTCAAGCTCAAGGCGGTGGCTTTTTTCTTATTGTCATGATTTGATCGCATCCATCTAGTTTTTTAGTAGTAATAAACATATGACATTTACATACTAGGTCATAACTTTAAACTAAAAACTGCATCTTCTTTTTGTTATTTTTTTTTTCTCATATAGAAAATAACTTGTTTCTTCACTTTAGCTAAGCAGTTGATACATTAGCCGATGCTAGATACTAAAGTCTAGCCTCTGGGGACAATTATTTGTTGTGCAGTTAAATTGTGCTTTTTTTTGGATACCTTTTATGTTTTCGAATGTTAAAATCTTAAGTGTTTATTGGATGCCTTATAATTTCTTGGATATTGGTATTTAAAATATTGAATTTCGTTGGTTGTTTTATGGATATTTAATATTTTGAATGTTGCACACAATTTTTGAAATTATTGAGTTTTTGTTATGTTATTTATTTTTTTAAAATATCCTTCGAGTTTGCGTTACTTCGATGAAGCCATCACTTCACCTCATGCTTAGGCCTTAGGAGCCCTTGTCGCCTCTATTCATTTTTTGCCTCAAAAAAACACTATTTAAGCCACCTAAGGTAGGTTCATATTTTATAGGCCTCTACCTAATGGCAATTGATTTTCTGTTGGATGCATCCAAAATTTTAACACTACATCCAAAAGTAGCTAGAAAGAAGGATCCAAAAGAACAATGCCTTTCTTTTACTTTCTACATTCAAATAATATCCTTGTGCTTCATTCAAAACGATTGCATTGAAAGAATGCCACCCATGTACAAAGAGGCAACAAATCAAAAAGGCCCAGGTACACCTCCTTGTGTATACACACCATTGTATACAGATCCTTGTGTTACTACATAATGGTATAATAGTAAAATTTAAAAAAAAAAAGAAAAGAAAACAAAGGCACACTCACACATTCCTTCTTTCTTTCTTTGCTCCTACTCAACCAACCAAAAGAAGGGAAAGACTACCTTTTTTCACGGATACCTTATACATACATTCTCTTCAATTTCCCATCCCTTTTACTAACAAAGCATTAATTTAAAATTGTGTGGTGAACACAAGGTAGCACAAAGGTTAGGTTAGGCCATAAAAGAAGTTGCAAAAACATCTTTTTGTAAACCAATGGAAACATGAACTATTCAACAATAACCTCAGTAGGGGGCAAGAGCACATAGAAGAGTCTGAGGTTGGGAGTACCTAGGTAGCATTTATGTATTATATATATAAATATATACAAACATTGTAAGAAATATTTTTTTGCTTAGTCGTGGTCCTTGCGGGAAAATGAACACAAGGCAAGAGGTATGGGTAACTTATACTATTTCAATTTATGCTTTATATTTTGCCCTTAATTTATTCTAATGTGGACTGATATGCTCATCATTTTTAATTTATAAAGTACATATCTCGGTAGCTTTTCTTTTGTTTCTTTGGGATTCATATGTTTGAACAATCCCATCATAGTTGAACCGTGATTCCATCTCGATGAAAACACGGTTCTAACTTGATTATTATTTTGAACTGCCGAATAGAAGTTCCTGAGCGGAAACATCACCCTCACAATTCTTGTGACTAATATAATAATAATAACAAATTAAAAATTTTATTTAATCAAATCAATATAAATCTAAGTCCTGTATTACTACCAACTTTCCATTTTCCAAATTTCCCAAGTAGCAATAAAGCTACCAAGGCTAATATTGATACCTCAAGAACCAATGACCAGACAGTCTTGCTGTCTCGGTGAGGGATGCACAGATTAATGGGACATGGAGTTGACTCTCAAACATAGCTGTGGATGGTTAAGGACCTTAAGGTCACTACTTTAAAACTCAACATTAGGTAGCGCGCCCTGCTTAGAAAAGCATTTATGTAAGAAGTTGACTGTAGAAACAAATTTCTCATCGATAACAAGAAGTACAATTCCATAGAATCAAATAATGCACCAAACTAAATGAAATATAGATTGGTACCATAATAATGATGATGATAATACTTTATGAATGAACCTTTAAACCTACCTATTTGCTTCTGATACTGACAATCCCCACAAAGCGCCAGCAGCCCTCTCCTGAAGACCTGGAGATGCATTTGAACAGGAGTTTGCAAGAGCAACCTATACAACCATCATGAAAAGAAAGCTTCAACATATTGTGGAACTTGCCACCATACAAAACATAAGAGTATAACTTTGTGATCTGAATCTTCCTGGACATTTTTTCCTCCACACAGATACACAGATTTTTAAAAAGTGAAGACAGAAGTTTAACTTCTGCAACTTTACATAAGAGCTTAGCATAGGAATTTTAAACATTGCTATTGTTCCCAAGAAATTGTTTTTGCAGATTGAACTTTGGTGTAAAAGTAATGGCTCTCATTTAATTACAAGGAGCAGGACTCTGCAAGCCAATAATAAAATCAAAAGTTGATACCCAATAGACATTCATGTAGAGCCTCCCTCTTTTTCCAAACCACAGTAATATAAAAAGGGGTGCAAAGACAAAACTGTTTAGTGCCACTTTGGTACAAAGGAAGTATTGTACACTTCTTCGACTATACAAAATTGACAGAATATCATGAAACTATCATCAAAAACGATAGACTAGTTGCTTCCGATTTTGGGGAAAAAATATAACACAGGCTGCACTGTTTTTAGAGGAAGGTGTAAATAAAATAAAAGTGTGTTTCTATGTACATAGAAAACTCAATAGAAAGAAATTTTGAAGAATAATAATATAAAAAGAGAGTAAGAAATCAATACTCATTTCCAAATCCTGTAGCTTTTAGACAGCTAACAGCTAAGCCATTAATCACACAGCTAATAAAGTCAGTCACTACTGAGACAGCTCATAAAAGTAGTGTCACTCCTATTCCCTCTAAAGCTTCTCTTAGGAGAATCCCTACGCTACACTCAACTTGAAAGCGTCGAAAGGGAGTCACAAGCCTTCTTCCTTTAATCCATAATAAGGAGCTGCCTAAACTACCTCAGGGTACTAAAGCTGTTCCAGACGGTCCCCTCTACAAAAAGGGTCTCCCTTCCTTATACAAATCATAGGTAAAATGGGAGTTATTCATATTTTATTTTCATTTTTTTGGTCTAATGGTTGATGGGTTACACAATTCGGGCTAGACTTCTCCCTGCTCATAAAAGCCCCCTAATTCAAATGAAAGCAGTATTTGATCTCGGGCATCCAGTAGTCTACCAGCAGAGTTTATAGCTAAGCTAGTTGGTAAAGTATGTATAACTTGTGAAAGTCTGACAAAATATAAATAAATGAAGACTTCAATCTTTTTCTTTGATTCCACGAAGGAAAAAAAAAAATACATAATGAAGAAAAATGTGCACACAAATGCAATGTATATAAGACAGTTATTTATAAAAAGTTAGGAGTTTTAAATTTTTATTTAATTTCAAATTTGACTCGGTAAGTAAAAACAAATATCATTCTAGGAGTTTCTTTTTGCTTTTTTTTTTTTTTTGATAAGCAACAATTAAAAAAAATTGTATTAGAAAACGTGCCAAGGGAGCACAACCTTTATACAACCAAAATAAAGAAAGAACTGAGGGTGAATTACGAATGAGAAAACATGATATAATACAAAGAAAAGAATAAGAATAATTCTCTCCATACCAATTTGTTCGCCTTTTCTGTTGGAATTCTTCGTCATAGTGCTTACTTTGTTTTTTTTTTTTTTTTTTTTTTTTGGAAACAAATTGTAACCGGGCTAAGGCCCCACCCTTTGTACTTGCTTTTGAATTTTGAATGAATGCTTCTTTTTTGTTCAAACTCTTATTTCGGTTGATCTTAATGCTTATACCTTTACTTTCTAACTGATGTCTTGCATGAGGTACAGCATTCTCTTGCCGAGATACTTTATCTCGGTCTTAATCATTGCAACTATAAGTATACCTGCCAATCATTCTTTAGCCGAGATCCCTACCTCGGCTGAAGAATACTAAAAGTTGGTTTAATCCAGCCAACCACTCTTTAGCCGATATCCTT